CAGCTAACAGCTAACGGCTAACAGATCCATTTTGTCACACTCACCATGTAAACCACGTTCAGGGAACAAAGCGCGTTCTTGGAGCAGGTGAAACCGCCGCAGACCATATTGGAACAGCGTCCGGAAAGATAACGGAAAAACAAAACCAGACTTTTATTTTTAAAAAAAGGGGAAAACCCGGTCCGGGCGGTGCGCGGCTCTACCGGAGCGCTAACGTGAGTCTGCAGTCGGCTGTCGGTCGGTCGGTGGAGGGCGTGTCCGGTGACGCGTGTGACGTCAGGGCGCCGAGGCAACGTCATCGTCGCGCGATGAATCAAAAAATCGGGATGATCAGAGGGCCTCCTGCTTCTGTAATATCGATTACATATATATATATAGATTAATGTTATTGAAAAGTAGAAATATTTGGTTTATTTTCTTTTATTTTTGGCTGCGTTCACTCCGAAAGATCTAACTGCGTGAGTAAGTACGTAGAGTGCATAGCCTACAGAGTATTAACGCAAGTATTCCAATTGATTCACAGCATTAGGATCATAAAATATTGATAAACTTTCTCAATGTTTTGACTTATATCTCAACATTTTTACTCATGTCGTGATGAAATCCAATGAAAAACAAGACGGTATTGGTGCTAATGCGCCGCCCGGTTGCAAATCAGCGTCGAAGAAGAAGGTGACGCAGTAAAATGTTACAATCGTCACACTACGCAAGTAAATACGTAGTGCGCATAGTGTGCTAACGGAAGTATTTTAATTGATTCACAGCATTATTATCAAAAAATAATATTAAATAAAGAGAAACTTTCTAAATATTTTGATTTAGTATCTCAAAATAATGACATATGCTGTGTCTCAGTTCGAACACTTCCATACTTTATTTATTTTGAGTGGTCATTTTCAGTACGTAGACCACACCGGTACATTTTACGTGAGTAGGCGGAGAACACGATGTCGACGTAGACGGTTTAAATTCCACCTCTCATGAACCGGAAGGGACACACAGGCAACGTAAAGTAAAGCAGGTTCATTTGTAAGAAAAACAAGACGGTATTGGCGCTAACGCTCCGTCCGGTTGCAAATGTTTTTCTCTTTCACATCGGTGGAAATCGGCCTCTGTGGGATTTTATGTTTTGTTTGGCTGCTCACATTATTTGTTTGGCCCGTGTTCAGATTGATCAGTGTGAACAGGTCACGGTCCTGAAGTGACCTGCACGACGAACCTTTTTCTTTAAAGGACCCCCTTTTTCTGACGACCCCTGACTAAGTGACATTTCATATTACGATCAATACAAACAATAGTAACTCAAATACTGAGTAACCGCAGGAAGTTTGTGTAAAACGAGTAATCTGGATACATCTTGAGCAGATTATTTCCTGTTTAGGGAACTTTTTATACAATTCTTTTGACAAATTTAGTCTTCTGGTGTTCCTGACACACAGTCAAACAGTCATTTGACAAACAGTCAAATCTATTATATATATATATAATATTTATATTTGTTGCCACCTTGAGCACATACGATCATTACCTAAACAGAAATAATAATACAGGTAGCTGGTTTCCCAGTGTGTGTGTGTGTGTGTGTGTGTGTGTGTGAGTTAGTGTTATCAGCGTGTTCTTTGTGGTGATGACAGGACACTTGTTACACAAGGATTACACAATAGACTCTGTGATACATGAGGGGAGACGATAAAGAAGAAATACAGAAATGTTTCGTCCTGTTTTGACATTAGCAGGCGGTTACTCACTCATACGTCTGACCCAACCGCCGCCACGACGGTGTAAATGACGCTCACACATTTAAGAGATTTCTTTCTCATACGAAGTGTTCAGTGATATCAGTGAGTCAAGACTAATGTGTAACATCCTGCTGCAGCTGCACAAAGAAATCATATATAGGCTCCATTTACTACGTCTCTACTACTTCTTGTTTCTATTCTGCAACAACTCAGAGGCCAATTTTGTACTTTTTACTTAAGTAGCAGCTGCAACATTAAAGCGAATGGATCAATAATTATAATCTAATACTATTTCAGCATAACGAGTGCTTTTACTTTTGGCACTTTAGTTATATTTTAATACTTGTGCACTTTTAACTCAGTAGAATTATAAATGCAGAACTAATACTTCTACAGTGTTGGTCTTTCTATTTTTACTTAAGTGAAAGATCTGAGTGCTTCTTCCACCTCTGCACAGCCGCTGTTTTCATTTGTTGCATCTAATCTCAGTTGTGACCATTGACAGCAGATATATGAACTGGTCGATTGCAGCAGTGATGAAACAATCTACTTGTGACCTTATGATCTTAATGCGGACGCTCAAGCAAACAAGAACATTTTCTTTGTCAAGTTTACCCTTTAATCTTCACGTGGCCCCCTTAGAGTTATCTTAGGGCCCCACGAAAGGCCCCAAACCCCAGGTTGTGAACCACTGGATTAGAAGTGTGAATATTAGATTAGATTAAACTTTATTGTCATTGCAGAGAAATGCAAGTATAACAAAATATATCTATCTGTGTTTGGATGGACGTAAGTATGATATGCTAATCTAGCATGTATATAAAAATAGGCCACTAGGTGCATGTTGTTGGCTAGTTGTTATATATTGGTCTTGATGGTGGAAAGACACCAACAAATAAACTAAAGCTAAAAAGCATAAAACTGAAGTAACCAGCCTGTTTTGAAAGCAGTAGAAAGTACGGATATTTATGTAAAAATATTGGGGGTAAAAGTAGAAAGTTGATACTTGAGTGAAGTACAAATACCTGAAAAACCTATTTAAGTACAACAACAAAGTATTTATACTTACACAGAGTAACAGAGTATTTATAATACAGAGAGGTGTATGCTTTGTAGTTAGTATGCTGTTAGCAGGAAGATATAATGTCTGACGTGGTGTGTTATCATTTATACTATGTTCACTTGCCAAAGCAGAAAAAAATAAGTTCATACATTTGTATTTTCATGCATTTTTTTTCAAGCCATAACCCAGTTTCCCTCGTAACACCTGAGGGTGTGACTAATACCTGGAAGAATCATCACCCTCCCAAAAGTCAGTTGCTATATTTACTCGCCCGAAGTGGCATTTTATTCGACCCGGCCAACCTGAGCCCTGCGGTACGAAGGTATACATGTGGCTCGATAAGCAGCGATGGTGGCTCTGGCGTTGAGAACAAGCCAGCGGGGCCGTGGCCAACAAAGGTTAGCCTAAGCAGATATAAAGCAGATATAAAGCAGATATAAAGCAGATATAAAGCAGATATAAAGCAGATATAATCCAAGAGTATACAAGCAGATATAATGCAGATATAAAGCAGATATAAAGCAGATATAAAGCAGATATAATGCAGATATAAAGCAGATATAAAGCAGATATAAAGCCGAGTTAAGCCGCAGAGTATCTGCTCTTTGCACAGGCGATGTTGGGAATCAAAGGCAGTTTTAAAGGTGCGTTAGGATTAAAGAATGATGTCGCCTATGACTCCCACTGTGTGGTCAAAACATCATTTACAGGAATATTACTGTAAACATGGGCCACTGATCTAGGGACAGTGTAAATACTGCATGCATTAAGTCCAATGTGGAGTTATAATCCTCTCTGCATGGCCAATATGTCTGACAGCAGTGGATGTTTCACAGCTAGGAGCAGAGTTTGTCTTCTAATTGAGCCACAATGAGACAAAAACACATAAACTGTGATTATAGATGAAAGTTTTTACATTATTGTTCTCTACTAGAAGCAGAACAGCATGTTATGCAAGAATAACAGCAGCCTCAGACAGTGTTTCAGCGGCGTGGCCAGCAGAGCACTTAGAACGGCTGTGTAGTGAAGAATATGGTTTCAAATAAGGAAGTGAATTCAGTTCAGTTCAAACCTGCAGAGGAAACTGAGACACACTGTCGTGAGCTGACTTTTGTGGTCTAGAGACAGAGCGAGAGAGAGACACCCTACCGCCGCCACCGCCGCTTCTTTCTCTGCTGCTTCTGTGTCTAAAAAGTTCGTGTTCATTTTGTGGAGCAAAAACATCTCGTGGAGAGTTCAGATGGGCTGAAGCGAGCGCTCTGCTTCAGTTTACAACAGATCCATGCGTCAGGATGAACAGCAATAGTAAATCCGTGAGCTCGGTTGCAATAAGAGCAGAGATCAAGAAGCATGACTCTCTCCAGAGTGCACTCAACAGACTTTCCAAGCAACTTGAAAGAGTCGGGGATGAACAGCTGCGCTCGGGCCTTAAAGTTTTCCTCCACAGTATCAAAGGTAAGCTCATCCTTCTTGGTGCTCTTTGTGATGGACTTTTGTTTGTTGTATTTAGGGAAGAAAGAAAGCAACACCTGTAGTGGAGTTCTTATTGGCAGGTTGTCAGAATTCGGTGCATGGTCTGACTCTCAGGACTCTCACTTTAATGCACTCTTGGTGTGATAAACAAGAGAAATTGCATGTGCCAACTTTAGTTCACCGTGAGTCTTTCTTTTCATTATCATTAATCGCGGGGGTGTAGGGGAACATGATAGCATAGGTGATTGATATCTTCCTCTGCACTTCCTGTGTCAGTCGGTGTGTCTTTTCCGGGGAAGCGCTCTTCAGTCGATATTCATTTTCATTCTCATTTCACTCTGAGGGCAAAAGAAATCACCTCCCAGCGTCTGTTATGTAGTGGCATTTATTTATCACTCAGCCTCTGGACACGGGCAACCAATGGCATCATCCCTCAGCAGCCATCGCCATGGCAGCAGGATGAAACCTGCTGTGCGGCCTACTTCCTGTCTGCCAATCTGCAACTGCCCTCAAACCCACTTCCTTTCAGACAAACAGGTCTTTTACATGTGAAGCTGATCAGTTTGACATCATTTCCTCATATCGCTACTTCCCACCGTTTCTTGTTAATGTGACGCAATGTGTTGCTGTCACATTAAAAGTAAAAATAAATATATAATCGGTTCTCTGGTAACCTGTTTGCGTAGAACGTTTCGTGTATAGGAGGAAGAAGTATTCAGATCCTTTTTCTTTAAACGTATTACACAGAATTTTGAACTGGTTATGAAACAGTCTGATACCTCTGTATCACTGGTTCCCAACTGTTTCCTGAAGGTTCCTCTTCTCTATCGTTGAATAAACATACATATTTTACAGATCATTCATATTATATTCAATGTGTAACAATAACAGTAGAGAACAACTGATAAACTGTACAATAAACCCAAACAGTGAACATAATAACTGCAGGAAGTTTGTGTAAACTAGTGATTTTATGAGTTTCCTGATATTTGTAGGGAAAGTTTTATATAATTCTCTGTCTGTATTATGTGTTTTTTTAATTTTTAACAGTTGTAACTCTTAATCGGCTTCTTTTGACAAATTGGCCTCTATTAGCTCTCTATTAGTTTTATCAGAGTGATGGCTCTGTGAATACAGCTTCAGGTCTTCAAAGTTTAGGTCTTAAATAATAATCTAAACTTTAAAATGGGTTAGGGTTAGGGTTATACCTCATTAAAAATTTCTGCTGGACATAAGATGTCTCCTCCTGCACTGTAAAGTCCATTCTCAGTGTCTGTGCACTGGTGGAGCTCACTGTATCAGCTGCATACTGGACCAGGATTGACTTCCTGAACTATTTGTTATGTCATAAATCATCCTTGTAGGCCCCGCCCCCTTAAAAATCTGATTTTCAGTAAGCTCAGAGACACTCTGCACATACATCATTCTGCACAGTGGAGCAAGAACAAGAAGAAAGCCATATATTTGAGTGGAGGGGGACTTTAAGTACCATAAACACAACAGTTGTGTAGGTATGTGAGGCCTTTAATCTCTAAAAAGTCACCCTGTTTAGTAAGGTAATCATATGTTTTGTACATGCACATGTATAAAGCAGCATAAATTGTGAATAGTAAAGTTAACATCACATCGAAACTGGCCAGACTGGGTGGAATAACACCAGTGAATATTCATTACTGTTTATTCATCAGCTCGTTGCACTCACTCCAATGTTTGTCTGTGAACTGAAGGTCAGGCAGCTCCCTGATGGATTTGGGTGAGCTTTGAGGTCTTTTTAGGATCTTGAAACACTCTAAAAGGCACCCCCCACGTGTAAAAACATTCAGCCCAAGTTTTTTTGTGCATAATTAGTCTGCTGGAGCGTCGACGCTATAGTGAGGATCAAAGGCAGTGAATCCTCTGCGGGGGCCTGGATCTGTGAGCGTAGAGTTCACTGGTGCTAAAAAGAGAGCCACCTCTCTTTTGGACTTAATAAACGAGTGGGATGTGGTCGACCGGCGCTGCGTGCCAGGGAGAAGGCTGGGAGAAAGGAATAATAAAGAGATGGAGAAAGGGAGAAAAGGGTGAGGTGGGGCTAAGTGAAGACATTTAAATGTGAATCTGAGTGCGTTCACTGCAGCATGGCAGCAGCAGAGTGAGAGATTGAGGAGGGAGAGGACAGCTCACAGTGAAGGAGAAATGAAAAATCACCCAGCATGACCACTGCCCTTGGCCAGTGTCCATCTGACAGCGCCCGCCCGTGGGTGTCAATGTGTGTGTGTGTGAGAGCTTTGTCTGTATGCATGGGAGAGAGAAAGAGGGTGTGTGTTTTCTAAAAAACTGTCCGTCTGAAGACAACCTGATTTCCTGCGTTTTATGTGGGTGTCTATTTCAAAATAATTAGATTCACCATGCAGCACTTGCAGCAACCTGACGTGCACTTTAACTCACACAGGCATGTCATGTCCTCACACTTCTTTAAAAATGGATTTTACACACACACGTCACTCCCCCCTGAAAGAGTATCTGGATTTTAAAAAACAAGAAGCAGCTCCTTTTCCTGTCTTAAGCTTTTTATTTATTCACGACTCCTCTTTGTCTTCTGTGTCGGGGGCTGCGGTCGCCGTTGCTCTCAGGTCGTGTGTTTTCCCCTTGAGCCAAAGGCGGTTGTCAGAGGTCTTTTGTATTCAGTGGGAGTAGTTATTGCCCTCTCGCTGGCTGTGGAAGGGAGGGGGAGCGGGCTGAGCAGGTGGACAGTCAGATCGTGCATTATGAGATGATGGTGGGAGGCAGAGAGTGGTGCACTGTGGGGAAAGGCATCCTCTGATTTCACATCAAGGATTTTTTAGTTTTTAATCAGAGAGTAATTAACATGAAATTATACCCAGTAATGATTCAAGTGATGGATGTGTAATCATGTTTGCTGCAGTGTTTTTGTTGTTGCACGCAGAATAATTGCAGCGCTTCCTCTTGTTCTTTTTGTCTGCGTTATAAAAAACGACGAGTGATGCGTGATAATCATCAGGGTCGATCGATAATGGAACATTTATATTATTACGTAATATTATGATAATTAAATTATAGCCGATTGATTATCTGTCAGTAAGAATAATTTATTTTGAATTCTTCTGCAGAACGATTGATTGACTTTATGTTCTGTGAAAGCTAAAGAGTCTGAGGAGTCAGAACTGTTACCTCAATTAGACCATCTTTACTCACTAGATCTTCACCAGTCTCAACCTCAGGGGTGCATAAAGGGTTCTAAACTTCTTCTAAAATGCAGAAATGTTAATTAATGCTAATTATATCGGTAATGGCCATGAGAAGCAAGTAATATCGGTTATCACGGCTGAAAAAAAATATCCATATCGTGGATCCCTGTGATTAATCGATTGGTTGATCGGCAGAAAATGATTCTGCAACTATCGACTATGTGAGTTAATCCTTTAAGTACATTTATAAAGAGAAAAAAGCCAAACATTTTATGATTCCAGCCTCTTAAAGCTGTTGTAGGTCATTTATCCTCGTCCAGGCCCGGTGGATTCTTGAAGATGCCGTTAGGAGAACTACAACGAGCCAGAGGAACCTCATGTACAAGTTTCAGTAAATATGACAAACAGTTATTTTTATAAAAGTTTCTTACTGGAGCTTTAATTGTGATAATGTGCTGCTTCTCGTTGTCCTAAATGATAGTAACCAGACTATCTTTGGAACTTTGACCTCACATTCAATGACGTGGACTTCAGGAAATTGATGTTTTGTTGACCAAATGATTAACTGATTAACCTAATCGACAGATTAATCAGTAAGGAGAATAATCATTGTATTAGTAACAATGTAATCGGCACAAACAAACAGGTTTTAATCATAGATGCATGTTTTATTAACACAGAAATATAAGTGTGTGTGTGCTTCTTTTTTTTGCATTTTGTGGTCCACATATTGATGTCCAATAATGCTCTCATCCTTTCACGCTATTGCTCAGTTCATGCTGTGAGCCCAGAGCTTCCCCACTTCTGCTAATGAACACATGCCGTTGTAGGCAATAGACTACAGATCAATACACTCACAGGAAATCTCTTTCACTCACATGTACGCCACACACACACACACACACAGAAAAACACTCAATGAAACACTCACACAGAGAAACACCATTTTGATACAGAGATCCTGGGAGTGATTGCGATACAGAATGTACCAAAGGAGGAGGAGGAGGAGGAGGAGGAGGAAGGAGGAAGGACATGGAGGAGATGATTGTGCCACCAGAGCCAGGAAGATTGTAACACCTTAGCAACAAACAAGCCAAGCCTCCTACTGAGGAGGAGCCACGCAGAGCCACACACTTGTGCACACACACACACATAAATAGACAGCTGAAGACAGATGGGTGATCTCGATGAAACTGTTCTGGCAGCTGTATAAATGAGACGGGGAACAGACACCCTGCCCAAGTGTCCTTTTTCCTCCACAAACATGCATCCATCTTTTTCCTCACTAACCCTCGCCTCTCCCTCCATCTCTCCTCTCCCCGCCGCTGATCTTTCCTCCCACGGTCTCCCCTCATTTAGCAGGTCCGGCTCGTGTGTGCACTGCTGCTTTTACCACCAGCCGTTACCCGCTGCCTTCCCCCTCCTCTCTCCGGCACGCAGGGAGAACGATGATGGAGGGGAGGGGATGGGGATTGGTGGGGGTGGATTGGGGATGGGAGGGATGAGCAATAAAGAGCAGGGACCCTGCACAGTCTGAGAGGAGCAGCAGAGAGAGAAAGAGAGAGAAAATAAAGGAGGGAAAGAAGAGAAGCAGGATCCTTCTGCATTGTATGGATTGCCTATTGGAACAAGGAGGGGCATGTAGAGGGAGGGACATTGGAGATTCCTATCAGTGTGTTTGCGAGAGCAGGAGAGAGAAACGCAGAGTGTGAGGGTGTGTGTGAGGGATTGGACTCGTTGAACCTGTGCGACAGTGTCTCTATCGGAAGGCTTCAGAGGCAGTCAGGGGGCTGTTTGAGCAGTGACTTGCCTCAGCGCCTCCTCTGTGCCAGTGCTCTGTTGTCATGCTCAACGCCTGATGCACTCAGAGGACACAGGCTGCCCGGGAGACAGCGAGAGGGGCATGATGGCCGGACGCGCCCTGACTCGGTCATGCATCTCCAGATATCCGCCCGAGCTTCTGTTGGCTTCTTCTCCTGATCCCTTTCAGCCCTCATCGATGTCCTTCCTGTGCGTCTCCGAGAGGCTGCCCACCTTCCTGCTGCCGCGCTCCCTGAATGGATGCTGCTGTCAACACACATGTGTGGCTTGCGGTGAGAGCCCATGATCTGGACTGGACTGCATAACAGCTCTGGGTGTACAGTGCCATGCTGCTTTAGGGTGACACTGATGCATTTTTAAAGACTTCACCTTTTCAGGTTACAGCTGCTGTTGATCACATTCGTCATGACGTATGATGCGGGGAAGTTGTTATTCTGAATTGAATCAAGAGGATTGACTGAGCAACACATGAGATGGGGGTGCTGCACATAGAAATAAGGTCAAATAAATAATTACCATCAGGAGTGAGGCATCAGACATCATAATGAAGATTTATTTGCCTCAGTGGCTGCATACATATGCAGTGGATAGATTTTAATTGGGTGTTTTCTAAGAACAAAAGAGCTGATTGGACTGCACTGTCAGTGTGCTGAAGGTTGTCTGAAGAGATTTCTTTTCTGTGTCCCAGAGAAATGAAAATTGCAGTGAGAGAAGAAATCTGTGACTGAAATTAAAATCCGAAACAAAGAAATAGGGATTTGGGGGATGGATGAAACCAACAGCCCCTCTGCTGTTGTGTCTTCCGAGGAGAAACTTAATCTCCCTCCATGTAAGTTTTTTGTCACAGTCGCGCTGTCGGATTCTTTCACATCCCAACACGCTGGCAAACTGTCAGTTGTTCATGTCGCTCTGTCTGGTTTCATTCATCTACTGTGTGTCTACTGAAGCCTGACCACATGAGCGGAGGCGGCGCCCTGCAGCAACGCACCACCTACCTCATCTCCCTCACCCTGGTCAAGGTAGAGGCTGTGGAGGAGAATGGAGGGGAGGCCAAGAAGAGCGCCCAGGGGAAGGAGGTGGAGGCCGGGCCAGGAGGAGACGAGGCCCGGGCGGGAGTGGAGGCTGAAGGTGAAGCTCCTGCCCAGACTGAGAATGGAGCCGGAGTGGATTTAGGACAAACACAAAGGGCCGAGGATGCTGCTATTTTGAAAGAGGGCGAGCTAATTAATGAACTCAAAGATGGAGAGAGAAAACCCCTCAGTCCCCTGAAAGATAAACCGCCCTCCACTGCTGATGTCCCGAGTCCAGCGAGCGAGAAGCCACCGTGCAACCTCTCAATCCCCTTACCTGCTGAGAGAGTGACGATTCAGAAGGCAACGTCTGCAGAGATCAATTCAACACGAGACGAAACGACACTTCCCACCCCTGAGGCAAAGCAATGCACGTCCCCATCACTGACCACAACACCCCCGACAGAGGTGATCGAGCCTAGCCGCACCCCAACCAGGACCAGCCTCCCTATCCGCCCGGTGGGCCAACGTCCTGTAAGTCTGCTGAAGTCCCACAGCAGTGCAGCCACCCGCGGTCGCGACACCAGGGAGGGTAGAGAGCGCAGCCCTACCTCGGCACAGAGCCTGGACCGCAAGGACTGCCGCATGCCCACGCGCTCACCAGGCCCCTGCAGGGCCTCGTGGGCCGAGGCGAGCAGGCCCGATGGATGGAGGGACCTGCGGGATGAGGCCCAAGCTGGAATACCTCTGGAGATTGGAGGTGGCATGGCTGCAGTGATGAGAGACTTGCCCAGGAAGGAGAGACTAAAGACAGGTTCGGCCTCCCTACCGGCGCCTCCTACACAGGCCTCCAAACCAGCACGCAAAGGTAAAAGCCGCACGCTGGATAACAGCGACCTGAACAGCCTCTCTGAAGACCTGGGGCTGGCCAGGGAAGCCCAGCAGGCGCAGCAGGGCCAGCGAGGCTCCGCCAAAGACAGAAAGATGCTCAAGTTCATCAGTGGCATTTTCACAAAGAGCAGTTCAGGGGCAGCGGGGTCATCCTCCACAGCGCCTCCTGTCTACATACAGAGAGACTCCAGTGAGGAGGAAGGTAGGAGGTCACAAACGCACACACATCACGTCACCGTCACCTCTTCAGCTCTAAATCCATCCTGCATGTTAACTTACATCCATGACAACAAGACTCTCCTGTTCGCTGCCAAACAGTGTGTCACCCTTTCATCTGTGCACAGGAATCCATTTAAATGTGAGTGTGGGTGGGGTTGGGTGGGGTTGATCCTCTCAAAGAACGCCACACAGGACACGTTTACAGGCTATAATACTGTCACGTGCTTGAGAGACATTTTCCCTGAAGCCATGTGCGACTACAAATTGATGACAGATGAAGTTCTTTGATCTGAGAACTGACAATAGAATCATCTCGGACAGTCTTAATCTAATTCCCCTCAGAGCGCGGGCAGATTTCACAACGCTGGAGGGGTAATCTCTGAACTCACACACACACACACACTTAAGCAGCGTTCCCAGCATGGGTTTAAATCTCATAATGAAGCCGAGGGGGAGAGGAGCTTGTGGCATGATCACGGATGCGCTGCTCCAGTTGATTTTCAGCTTTATTTCCATGAAGCTGTTGGAGAACAGGGAAAGACATGAGGCGATATTTGTTCACCCACGTCAAAAAGGGAAGTGTGGATCCACAGCCAATCAAGGACATTTCTAATCCGGTCTTTGATATTCCACCCACTACATGTTCTGCCACTAAATGGGTTGGTTTTTTTACCCTTCCCTCTCACTCTTGTCTTTGTCTCTGTCAGGCATTCAGTTTAAATTCCACCATAAAACGCAATCATGTTGCATTTTAAAATTCAGGATTGTTGAGTTGCCATTGCTGCTTTTTTCCCCTCTACGCCGTGTGTGTGTGTGTGTCGACGGTTGCAGTGTACAACAGTGCACGTCTTTCACAAACATGTTTGCTCAAAGAAAGAGCGAGTGTCAGCCAGTGGGAGTGAGCGAGCGAGCGAGCGTGTGTGTTTTTTATGTATTCATTCATTGTGTATTCACACTGTTACACATGCACACTGTGGATCCACTCAAGTAGTGAGACTAGCCCTGCCGACTGCACACACACACACACAC